TGATGTACAGAGGCACTACCTAACACATCACATAGTAGGTTGATGTACAGAGGCACTACCTCACATATCACATAGTAGGCTGATGTACAGAGGCATTACCTCACACATCACATATAGTAGGTTTTTGTACAGAGGCACTACATCACACATCACATAGTAGGCTGATGAACAGAGGCACTACCTCACACATCACCTAGTAGGCTGATGTACAGAGGCACTACCTCACACATCACATAGTAGGCTGATGTACAGAGGCACTACCTCACACATCACCTAGTAGGCTGATGTACAGAGGCACTACCTCACACATCACATAGTAGGCTGATGTACAGAGGCACTACCTCACACATCACCTAGTAGGCTGATGTACAGAGGCACTACCTCACACATCACATAGTAGGCTGATGTACAGAGGCACTACCTCACACATCACCTAGTAGGCTGATGTACAGAGGCACTACCTCACACATCACCTAGTAGGCTGATGTACAGAGGCACTACCTCACACATCACATAGTAGGCTGATGTACAGAGGCACTACCTCACACATCACATAGTAGGCTGATGTACAGAGGCACTACCTCACACATCACCTAGTAGGCTGATGTACAGAGGCACTACCTCACACATCACCTAGTAGGCTGATGTACAGAGGCACTACCTCACACATCACCTAGTAGGCTGATGTACAGAGGCACTACCTCACACATCACCTAGTAGGCTGATGTACAGAGGCACTACCTCACACATCACCTAGTAGGCTGATGTACAGAGGCACTACCTCACACATCACCTAGTAGGCTGATGTACAGAGGCACTACCTCACACATCACCTAGTAGGCTGATGTACAGAGGCACTACCTCACACATCACCTAGTAGGCTGATGTACAGAGGCACTACCTCACACATCACCTAGTAGGCTGATGTACAGAGGCACTACCTCACACATCACCTAGTAGGCTGATGTACAGAGGCACTACCTCACACATCACCTAGTAGGCTGATGTACAGAGGCACTACCTCACACATCACCTAGTAGGCTGATGTACAGAGGCACTACCTCACACATCACATAGTAGGCTGATGTACAGAGGCACTACCTCACACATCACATAGTAGGCTGATGTACAGAGGCACTACATCACACATCACCTAGTAGGCTGATGTACAGAGGATTACCTCACACATCACCTAGTAGGCTGATGTACAGAGGCACTACCTCACACATCACCTAGTAGGTTGATGTACAGAGACACTACCTCACACATCACCTCGTAGGCTGATGTACAGAGGCCCTACATCACACATCACCTAGTAGGTTGATGTACAGAGACACTACCTCACTGATGTACAGAAGCACTACCTCACACATCGCATAGTAGGCTGATGTACAGAGTTACTACCTCACACATCACCTAGTAGGCTGATGTACAGAGGCACTTCCTCACACATCACCTAGTAGGCTGATGTACAGAGGCACTACATCACACATATGTCCCACATATCAGACATGTGTTTATGGGAATCCCCTTGTCATGGCGAACTGAAAAGTGGCGGTATTTGCAAAAAATATCAAAGTTTCTAAAATCTTTGTATTGATCTCTACCAAATACGGAAGGTATGTGACAAAAGCAAGACCACAGACTTGTGTTTTTCTAACGAATCAGAAAGCACTCATTGCACGGACGTATATATTCGTCCACGTAATAAACTTGTGCTTTCTGATTCATTAGAAAAACACAAGTGTGTTGTCTTGCATATGTATCACACAATATCATGGGGAAAATGCATTCCAAAACAACATAAATAATGACAGAGTATAAAACTGTCTTATTCTGATTACAATTTCTATAAACTCTATAAAACAAAAACCCACTTTACCTATATGTTTCAGAATCTCTGTCTCTTTCCAGAAATTTCCCAACCATATCTGCCGTAATCTTTGGATCTCTACTAGTACCTCCTCCCTGGCTGTTGTTTACCGGCCGATTTTCGCCCTGAAGAGCACGCTCAAACATCTCCTTGGGACTAGTATACTGATCCTCCCTGACAGCCGGCGCAGGTCTGGCCCTCCCAGACCGAGGGTGGCTAGCAGTTTTTGGTGTAGAGGGTGCTGTAGGCATCGTTATGTTCACTTCACCGTATTCATGAGAATTACGATACTCTACAGCCACTTGGTACATTTTATCACAAAATTTGAAGTGTATCTCACACATATTGTTCAAGTCAATGTCACCTTTACTTTCCAGTAATCTGTAAAACATAAAATACATCACTTTCAAAGGTGTTTCACTTCAGGTTGATACTAACAAACATATCAGTGTCAGCGCTGATTCAATCCAATTAAAATTATATCTTCACATTGCTCCCGTTTACTGATATCAGCTTTAAAAACCAGCATTTCATTGCATTAAAAAAAATGTCACCACAGATGGTGAATGGAAATATTTTTCATTATGTCATCAAGGAATAAGTTGTTTTATTAAAAAGGAAGAAAATATCAGTATTCTTTTATCATATTAAATCAGATAAACAAAGAAATTTTACACAATTCAGTGTTCCATCAGGCATTAAGCATTGGCAGTCAAAAGTTGTCTAAATAGTTGCCAAGTTGGCATAAGAAAAAATCTAAAAGAAAAGACAAAATCACACGGCAATAAATTACCCTAAAGGAAAATTAAGCTGCCTCCAACTTTCACTTTATTACGATGGCACCAACATCACCAAAAGGATTGATTTGACCGAATATCATACAGAGAACCATTCAAACACCTCCAAGTCTTTGGTCACGATATTCTCACAAAATGGCCTACCATAAGGCAACTCAAACGCTTTGCTAAAATATTAGAATATAGCGAATAGCAGACCTAACGTCTAGATTTGATACCACACGTGTAGATCTGATACCACCTGTGTAGATCTGATACCACATGTGTAGATCTGATACCACATGTGTAGATCTGATACCACATGTGTAGATCTGATACCACCTGGCATCTACAAGCATTTCAGCAAGTAAGCAATTTTTGTAAACTAAGCAGACTGAAACTTAAACTGTGACACTGAGCCACAGCGTGACCTTCAACCATTTGAGCTATGATCTGATCGTGGGAAGTGACTTACATGAGGTCCTGATCAAACTTGTGTCTGGCATCCTGAAACACTTTGGTCTGGATCACACACATAGCTTCAAAACTGTTGCGTGGTCTGATTGGTGAAACCTTGTCATGTGACCCAATGTACTCAGCACTGTCGAGTGATGATAGTCGGGGAAACATCTCGGCAAGTTTAGATCTGGAAATCATCATAACATGTCAACACAATTACAGCAACTTAAACTGTGTTTCAGCGTTGAATATCAAGTACAGACTGAGACTACATACAAAACAAAACAAAAATCTATAACTTACATGAGGTCTGAAACATCCTCCAGGGCCGGGTTGTCTATAACCTACCTGAGGTCTGAATCGTCCTCCAGGACCGGGTTGTCTATAACCTTCCAGAGGTCTGAATCGTCCTCCAGGACCGGGTTGTCTATAACCTATCTGAGGTCTGAATCGTCCTCCAGGGCCGGGTTGTCTATAACCTACCTGAGGTCTGAATCGTCCTGAAAGTCTGGGCTGTCTAATACCTACCTAAGGTCTGAATCGTCCTCCAGGACCAGGTTGTCTATAACCTACCTGAGGTCTGAATCGTCTTTCAGGGCTGGGTTGTCTATAACCTACCTGAGGTCTGAATCGTTCTCCAGGGCCGGGTTGTCTATAACCTACCTGAGGTCTGAATCGTCCTCCAGGGCTCGGTTGTCTATAACCTACCTGAGGTCTGAATCGTCCTGAAAGTCTGGGCTGTCTAATACCTACCTGAGGTCTAAATCGTCCTCCAGGGCTGGATTGTCTATTACCCCCAGTTTCTCTAGATACACACAGCCACGTAGGCACTTAATCAGCACCTCAGGATCTGGAAAATATTAACGAGTTGATCAAATCGGTATGAAGAACATGGAAAATTCATCTCTGGTTTAAAGATTTTGGGCCTGAACCTCAGAAAATCTGATGCCCATCAATATATATTTAACATTATGTAAATGGTTAATTTCTAAAACCAATTTCTAACTCCAACAATTATTAACTTCTCCAAGTTTTTCATTCCTGACAGAGATAACCACTCAAACTTAACAGTCTCTCCTTCCTGACAGAGATCACCACTCAAACTTAACAGTCTCTATGTACAAATACTCACCCAAGATTTGGTTGCTACCAACATCTACATCCCACAGTAAATGGAACACTTCAAAGTTAACTAGGTGTTCAATGCTGAAACATACAGTTTATTTAACATACAAATACTACAGTATGTGTTACCTACTTACAGTATCTTCAATGTTTGTAGACTTTCAGCCATGTGTAAAGGGCTTTTAGTATTTATAGACAGTCATAGATGTGTAGAGAAAATTCAATGTTTGTAGACTGTCACAAATATTTACAGTGAATTAAAAGTTTGTAGACTGTCACAAATGTGTACAGTGAATTCAATGTTTGTAGACTGTCACAAATGTGTTCAGTGAATTCAATGTTTGTAGACTGTCACAAATGTGTACAGTGAATTCAATGTTTGTAGACTGTCACAAATATTTATAGTGAATTCAATGTTTGTAGACTGTCACTAACATGTACAGTGAATTAAATGTTTGTAGACTATCACAAATGTGTACAGTGAATTCAATGTTTGTAGACTGTCACAAATGTGTACAGTGAATTCAATGTTTGCAGACTGTCACAAATGTGTACAGTGAATTCAATGTTTGTAGACTGTCACAAATATTTACAGTGAATTCAATGTTTGTAGACTGTCACAAATCTGTATAGTATTCAATGTAAGTTGATTGATTAACATTAGTGTAAGTGTTTATAATCCAGTAAGATTCATTTCCAATGGCTGGACAGTATAAGTCGGGACATTAATTCATAAACAAGAGGCCCAAGAGGGCCTGTATCGCTCACCTGAATATTTAAGCAGTCATAGCAAAATATTCTCATTAAATATTATATTGCACTAAAAATATTTCCCTCGCAAACTTTGTTGGCTCCATCTGTTGAAACTACCAGCAAAATATTATTATAAGATTTTATGCTTTTTGATTCTTCTTCAGAAGTTGCTTGACATATTTTTCCCTGTGATCTTGTAAGTAGGTCAATGTCATTTTCCTTCTCAAATTGGTTAGCTCTATTCCAAAAAGCTACCAGCCAAATCTTATGAATCCATTCCTTTTAGTTCTCAAGAACAAATCCATTAAAATGTTGTTGACCTCTGTGACCTCTAAAGTAGGTTGAGGTCATTTTCATTTGCAAACTTTGGTGAGCTCTATCCCGGGAAGTCACCAGCCAAATATTATAATTTTATGCCTTTTAATTCTTCAGAAGAAGCTGTTTGAACTGTTTGACATATTTGAACGCTGTGACCTTGAAAGTAGGTCAAGGTCATTTTCATTCGCAAACTTTGTTTGGCTCTTTCCCAGGAAGCCACCTGCCAAATATTAAGATTTTATAACTACCAGTTCTTCAGAAGAAGTCGTTTAAAGTGTTTGACATATCTGCCTCATGTGACCTTAAAAGAAGGTCAAGGTCATTTTCATTCTCAAACTTTGTTCGGCTCTTTCCTAGGAAGCTACAAGCCAAATATAGAGATTATATACCTTTCAGTTCTTCAGAAGAAGTCGTTTGAAGTGTCTGACACATTTGACTCCTGTGACCTTGAAAGAAGGTCAAGGTCATTTTCATTCTCAAACTTTGTCGGGCTCTATCCAAGGAAGCCATCAATCAAAAATAAAGATTCTATACCTTTCAGTTCTTCAGAAGAAGTCATTTGAAGCTTTTGACATATATGACCCCTGTGACCTTGAAAGTAGGTCAAACTAGTTTTCATTCTCAAACTTTGTTGGGCTCTATCCCAGGAAGCCACCAGCCAAATATAAAGATTATATACCTTTCAGTTCTTCAGAAGAAGTCGTTTGAAGTGTTTGACACATTTGACCCCTGTGACCTTGAAAGAAGGTCAAGGTAATTTTCATTCTCAAACTTTGTTGGGCTCCATCCAAGGAAGCCATCAGCCAAATATGAAGATTCTATACCTTTTAGTTCTTTAGAAGAAGTCGTTTGAAGTTTTTGACATATTTGACCCCTGTGACCTTGAAAACAGGTCAAGGTCATTTTCGTTCTCAAACTTTGTAGGGCTCCTACCAACGAAGCTTTCAGTCAAATATCATGACTCTAGGCCTGTCCGTTCTTCAGAAGAAGTTGTTTAAAGGAAAAGTTGACGGACGAGGACGGACGGACGACGGACGCCGCGCCACGGCATAAGCTCACTTGGCACTTCGTGCCAGGTGAGCTAAAAACGATGTCCCTGACCAAGTGGATAAGATGGTACTATGTCACTGACTGAGTGGGAAGGATGGTACTATGTCACTGACTTAGTGGATAGGATGGTACTATGACACTGACTGAGTGTATAGGATGGTACTGTGTCACTGACTGAGTGTATAGGATGGTACTATGTCACTGACTGAGTGGGTAGGATGGTACTGTGTCACTGACTGAGTGGATAGGATGGTACTATGTCACTGACTGAGTGGATAGGATGGTACTATGTCACTGACTGAGTGGATAGGATGGTACTATGTCACTGACTGAGTGGATAGGATGGTACTATGTCACTGACTGAGTGGATAGGATGGTACTATGTCACTGACTGAGTGGATAGGATGGTACTATGTCACTGACTGAGTGGATAGGATGGTACTATGTCACTGACTGAGTGGATAGGATGGTACTATGTCACTGACTGAGTGGATAGGATGGTACTATGTCACTGACTGAGTGGATAGGATGGTACTATGTCACTGACTGAGTGGATAGGATGGTACTATGTCACTGACTGAGTGGATAGGATGGTACTATGTCACTGACTGAGTGGATAGGATGGTACTATGTCACTGACTGAGTGGATAGGATGGTACTATGTCACTGACTGAGTGGATAGGATGGTACTATGTCACTGACTGAGTGGATAGGATGGTACTATGTCACTGACTGAGTGGATAGGATGGTACTATGTCACTGACTGAGTGGATAGGATGGTACTATGTCACTGACTGAGTGGATAGGATGGTACTATGTCACTGACTGAGTGGATAGGATGGTACTGTGTCACTGTTTGAGTGGATAGGATGGTACTATGTCACTGACTGAGTGGATATGATGGTACTATGTCACTGACTGAGTGGATAGGATGGTACTATGTCACTGACTGTGTGGATAGGATGGTACTATGTCACTGTTTGAGTGGATAGGATGGTACTATGTCACTGTTTGAGTGGATAGGATGGTACTGTGTCCTTGACTGAGTGGATAGGATGGTACTTGAACTAGTGGTGGCTGTATTGATGAGGCTTGTTGTACTAGGATCAACAACCCATTTTTTTTAGTTACTTTGTAAACTGACAATGTCATATTTTTTTTTTATTAATTACTACGGACCAATACACGTATTGCAGTTTGAAAAATGGTTTCATGCCCTCAGAAAGATTGGTCAAATGAGACAGTAGCACACACTGCTATTGAGGGCCTCATTATTAGAAAAGTCCCTTGGAGAGAACTCAAAGCTGTAGGTCCATGGCTCATAGCAATGTTGTAATCGAAATAAGAGCAGGTTGTTACAACGGACACTTCATACGAAACTTAAACAGGTTTTGCAATCCTGAAATGACATGATTTTGATATACATAATAATAAGGTGTTGTCACTTCATCTTAGATACAAGATACAGTGATATTGTCAGACTACCTCAGAGTTCTTATACTGTGTCGGCATGGTCAAGGACAATCTGCTGTGAATACACAGATAATAACCTACCTGTTTTGACTAAGGTCAAGTCTCTGTAGTAGAGGGAACCAGCAGAGCCCCAGTCCCTTAACACAGGTGAGACTGTTGTCCTCCAAACACAGACTTTGTAGTAGCACCTGGTTCTTTAGGTCTGGGAGCTGTAACAAACAGGTAACAATAATCCAAGTATGTACTTACTAAGGTAAGTACTTAACACAGAGATTGTAACAAAAACAACACTTACTAAGGTAGGTACTAAAATAGCAATTATTTACTTTATTTGCCATCAAGAGGAGGATTTTGTTAAAGGACTCTCATGGAGGTTGCTAGAAGATTTACCTGGAGGAGGTTGTAAGAGGACTTACATGGAGGAGGTTGTTAAAGGACTTACCTGGAATAGTTTGTTAGAGGGCTTACCTGAAGGAGGCTGTTTGGAAACTTAGTTGGAGTGGAAGAGTTTGCTAGAGGAACAACTGGAAAAGGTTGTTAGGGAACTTACCTGTAAGAGGTTGTTAGAGGATTTACCTAAAGGAGGTTGTTAGAAGATTTACCTAAAGGAGGTTGTTAGAGGACTTACCAGGAGGAGGTTGTTACAGGACTTACCTGGCGGAGGTTGTTAGAGGACTTACCAGGAGGAGGTTGTTACAGGACTTACATGGAAGAGGTTTTTTTAGACGACTTACCTGGATGAGATTGTTACAGGACTTACCTGAGGAGGTTGTTAGAGGATTTACCTAAAGGAAGGTGTTAGAGGACTTACCTGAGGAGGTTGTTACAGGACTTACCAGGAGGAGGTTGTTACAGGACTTACCTGGATGAGATTGTTACAGGACTTACCTGAGGGGTTGTTACAGGACTTACCTGAGGAGGTTGTTAGAGGATTTACCTAAAGGAGGTGGTTAGAAGATTTAACTAAAGGAGGTTGTTAGAGGACTTACCTGAGGAGGTTGTTACAGGACTTACCTGAGGAGGTTGTTAGAGGATTTACCTAAAGGAGGTTGTTAGAGGACTTACCAGGAGGAGGTTGTTACAGGACTTACCTGTAGGAGGTTGTTAGAGGATTTACCTAAAGGAGGTTGTTAGAGGACTTACCTGAGGAGGTTGTTACAGGACTTACCTAAGGAGGTTGTTACAGGAATTACCTCAGGAGGTTGTTGAAGGACTTACCTGTAAGAGGTTGTTAGAGGACTTACCAGGAGGAGGTTGTTACAGGACTTACCTGTAGGAGGTTGTTAGAGGATTTACCTAAAGGAGGTTGTTAGAGGACTTACCTGAGGAGGTTGTTACAGGACTTACCTAAGGAGGTTGTTACAGGAATTACCTCAGGAGGTTGTTGAAGGACTTACCTGTAAGAGGTTGTTAGAGGACTTACCAGGAGGAGGTTGTTACAGGACTTACCTGTAGGAGGTTGTTAGAGGATTTACCTAAAGGAGGTTGTTAGAGGACTTACCTGAGGAGGTTGTTACAGGACTTACCTAAGGAGGTTGTTACAGGAATTACCTCAGGAGGTTGTTGAAGGACTTACCTGTAAGAGGTTGTTAGAGGACTTACCAGGAGGAGAATGTTAGAGGACTTACCTGGATAAGATTGTTACAGGACTTATCTATGGAGGTTGTTACAGGACTTACCTGAGGAGGTTGTTAAGAGGAATTACCAGGAGGAGGTTGTTATAGGACTTACATGGAGGGGGTTGTTAGAGTACTTACCTGAGGAGGTTGTTATAGGACTTACCAGGAGGAGGTTGTTATAGGACTTACCAGGAGGAGGTTGTTACAGGACTTACCTGAGGAGGTTGTTAGAGGACTTACTAGGAGGAGGTTGTTACAGGACTTACCTGTAAGGGGTTGTTAGAGGACTTACCTGAGGAGGTTGTTACAGGACTTACCTGTATGAGGTTGTTAGAAGATTTACCTTAAGAAGGTTGTTAGAGGATTTACCTAAAGGAGGTTGTTACAGGACTTACCTGTAAGAGGTTGTTAGAGGACTTACCAGGAGGAGGTTGTTACAGGACTTACCTGTAGAAGGTTGTTAGAGGATTTACCTAAAGGAGGTTGTTAGAGGACTTACCTGAGGAGGTTGTTACAGGACTTACCTAAGGAGGTTGTTACAGGACTTACCTCAGGAGGTTGTTGAAGGACTTACCTGTAAGAGGTTGTTAGAGGACTTACCAGGAGGAGGTTGTTAGAGGACTTACCTGGACAAGATTGTTACAGGTCTTATCTGTGGAGGTTGTTACAGGACTTACCAGGAGGAGGTTGTTAAGAGGAATTACCAGGAGGAGGTTGTTACAGGACTTACCTGTAAGAGGTTGTTAGAAGATTTACCTAAAGGAGGTTGTTACAGGACTTACCTAAGGAGGTTGTTACAGGACTTACCTGTAAGAGGTGGTTAGAAGATTTACCTAAAGGAGGTTGTTAGAGGATTTAACAAAATGGAGGTTGTTACAGGACTTACCTGTATGAGGTTGTTAGAGGATTTACCTAAAGCAGGTTGTTACAGGACTTACCTGTAAGAGGTTGTTAGAGGATTTACCTAAAGGAGGTTGTTAGAGGACTTACCTGAGGAGGTTGTTACAGGACTTACCTGAGGAGGTTGTTAGAGGACTTACCTGAGGAGGTTGTTACAGGACTTACCTGAGGAGGTTGTTAGAGGACTTACCTGAGGAGGTTGTTACAGGACTTACCTGAGGAGGTTGTTAGAGGACTTACCTGAGGAGGTTGTTAGAGGACTTACCTGGAGGAGATTGTTAGAGGTCAGCTTGAGAACTTGTAGGAGACAGAGCCTGCTGATGTCCTGACAGTCCTGTAGATGGTTATGTGATAGGTCTAGGAACTGGATAGTGGGCGTGTCCCCCAGCCCTGTCGTACTGATCAGCTGGTTGTGTGACAGGTTGAGAGTATGTAGGCGCCGCAGTGAGTAAATACCCCCTGTTGTGCAAAAACAAATTACTGTTTTATTTCATGAAGGACAAATTAAACAACAGGCCAAAAGGGCCTTTGTAGGAACTTGAGTTGTAGTTTAGTTAAGTTACATTGTTGATACATCATGACAACAAAAGAAACATTCATTGTCATGTCACAAAACCAAAAAATTCCCCCCAACCTTTTTTGTCTTTGAGCCAATTTCCCCCCTACTTATTTTGTCTTTGAGCCAATTCCCCCCCCCCCTCAACCTTTTTTGTCTTTGAGTCAATTCCCCCCCACCCCAACCTATTTTGTCTTTGAGCCAATTCCCCGCCCCCTTTTTTTGGTCCCACCCCTCAAGCCCTAAAAATGAGTCAGGATTTCATATTCTTACACCATTTTATTGCCATCTAATAATTCCACTCAAATTTGAAAATTGATATATCATTAAAAAAGGAATTGATCTATATAAACTTAACTGTCGCCAGAATGGCAGACTTATACCCCTTCCTGGGCCAAGAACTGCAGGAATGGTTGTTAGACATTTTTAAATGAACGAGGCCACGTATAGCAAGGCAACCTGTAGTCCCTCATTGGTTATGACTTCTTTCTACACCTCTGTCAGGATAGAGGTCACAGTGACATACTTATTATACTTTGCACTCCACCAGCCATGACATACTTGGATACTAAATCTGGGTACTCTAGGTGTAACACTATCAAAGATATGGCCCAGAGATACTTTTCATTGATTAAGGACTAAGGACCCCCTTTTTGTACATGACAATCTGCCATCCCAAGATGTAAATTTGCATTCCAAATCCAGTTACTCCAGGTGAAAAAGTAAAGAAAATATGCCCCAGACAAAATTGTGTCAAACTTTTGTGACAGACAGACAGACAGAAAGATATCCTAGTGAGTCTGTTGTGAGACAGATCTAGCCATCGTAGGTTGTGTCCCCCCTCCCCGACTATTTATACATACCTGTCCTAGTGAGTCTGTTATGAGACAGATCTAAGTATCGTAGGCTGTGTCCCCCCTCCCCGACTATTTATACATACCTGTCCTAGTGAGTCTGTTATGAGACAGATCTAGCCATCGTAGGTTGTGTCCCCCCTCCCCGACTATTTATACATACCTGTCCTAGTGAGTCTGTTGTGAGACAGATCTAGCCATCGTAGGTTGTGTCCCCCCTCCCCGACTATTTATACATACCTGTCCTAGTGCGTCTGTTGTGAGACAGATCTAAGTATCGTAGGTTGTGTCCCCCCTCCCCGACTATTTATACATACCTGTCCTAGTGAGTCTGTTGTGAGACAGATCTAACCATCGTAGGTTGTGTCCCCCCTCCCCGACTATTTATACATACCTGTCCTAGTGAGTCTGTTGTGAGACAGATCTAGCCATCGTAGGTTGTGTCCCCCCTCCCCGACTATTTATACATACCTGTCCTAGTGCGTCTGTTGTGAGACAGATCTAGCCATCGTAGGTTGTGTCCCCCCTCCCCGACTATTTATACATACCTGTCCTAGTGAGTCTGTTGTGAGACAGATCTAGCCATCGTAGGTTGTGTCCCCCCTCCCCGACTATTTATACATACCTGTCCTAGTGCGTCTGTTGTGATACAGATCTAGCCATCGTAGGTTGTGTCCCCCCTCCCCGACTATTTATACATACCTGTCCTAGTGAGTCTGTTGTGAGACAGATCTAGCCATCGTAGGTTGTGTCCCCCCTCCCCGACTATTTATACATACCTGTCCTAGTGCGTCTGTTGTGAGACAGATCTAGCCATCGTAGGTTGTGTCCCCCCTCCCCGACTATTTATACATACCTGTCCTAGTGAGTCTGTTGTGAGACAGATCTAGCCATCGTAGGTTGTGTCCCCCCTCCCCGACTATTTATACATACCTGTCCTAGTGCGTCTGTTGTGAGACAGATCTAGCCATCGTAGGTTGTGTCCCCCCTCCCCGACTATTTATACATACCTGTCCTAGTGAGTCTGTTGTGAGACAGATCTAGCCATCGTAGGTTGTGTCCCCCCTCCCCGACTATTTATACATACCTGTCCTAGTGCGTCTGTTGTGAGACAGATCTAGCCATCGTAGGTTGTGTCCCCCCTCCCCGACTATTTATACATACCTGTCCTAGTGAGTCTGTTGTGAGACAGATCTAGCCATCGTAGGTTGTGTCCCCCCTCCCCGACTATTTATACATACCTGTCCTAGTGCGTCTGTTGTGAGACAGATCTAGCCATCGTAGGTTGTGTCCCCCCTCCCCGACTATTTATACATACCTGTCCTAGTGAGTCTGTTGTGAGACAGATCTAGCCATCGTAGGTTGTGTCCCCCCTCCCCGACTATTTATACATACCTGTCCTAGTGCGTCTGTTGTGAGACAGATCTAGCCATCGTAGGTTGTGTCCCCCCTCCCCGACTATTTATACATACCTGTCCTAGTGAGTCTGTTGTGAGACAGATCTAGCCATCGTAGGTTGTGTCCCCCCTCCCCGACTATTTATACATACCTGTCCTAGTGCGTCTGTTGTGAGACAGATCTAGCCATCGTAGGTTGTGTCCCCCCTCCCCGACTATTTATACATACCTGTCCTAGTGAGTCTGTTGTGAGACAGATCTAGCCATCGTAGGTTGTGTCCCCCCTCCCCGACTATTTATACATACCTGTCCTAGTGCGTCTGTTGTGAGACAGATCTAACTATCGTAGGTTGTGTCCCCCCTCCCCGACTATTTATACATACCTGTCCTAGTGAGTCTGTTGTGAGACAGATCTAGCCATCGTAGGTTGTGTCCCCCCTCCCCGACTATTTATACATACCTGTCCTAGTGCGTCTGTTGTGAGACAGATCTAACCATCGTAGGTTGTGTCCCCCCTCCCCGACTATTTATACATACCTGTCCTAGTGAGTCTGTTGTGAGACAGATCTAGCCATCGTAGGTTGTGTCCCCCCTCCCCGACTATTTATACATTCCTGTCCTAGTGAGTCTGTTGTGAGACAGATCTAACTATCGTAGGCTGTGTCCCCCCTCCAGACTATTTATACATACCTATCCTAGTGAGTCTGTTATGAGGCAGATCTAACTATCGTAGGCTGTGTCCCCCCTCCAGACTATTTAAACATACCTGTCCTAGTGAGTCTGTTGTGATACAGATCTAACTATCGTAGGTTGTGTCCCCCCTCCCCGACTATTTATACATACCTGTCCTAGTGAGTCTGTTATGAGACAGATCCAGCCAACGTAGGTTGCCACACCCATCCAGACCATGTAAAACACTTAGTTTGTTGTGAGACAGATTGACATAGGACAGATTGCCGAGGTCCTTCAGGTTGACATACTCTATAAAGTTGTGCTGCAAATCAAATATCACATAATTATCTAGTTTACATCAAGTTTGTATAAGTTTTCATGTTTGTTTGTTTTTTATGCTATTTCCATTTATTTAAACAAATATAAACATGTACATTACGATACGAAGCAACATGTGACATCAGCACTCAAAAAAAAAAGACATAAGTATGTTAAATAAAAAATGTGTATTTATATATGAACATATTAATTAAGTCACCCTACCTTAAATTTGATAAGCCACCCTACCTTGAAGTAAACAATTCATTCTACCTTATAGTGGACTAGTTACACTACAGTGAAGTGGACACGTTACCCTACAGTGAAGTGGACAAGTCACCCTACAGTGAAGTGGACAAGTTATACTACAGTGAAGTGGACAAGTTACCTTACAGTGAAGTGGACAAGTTACACTACAGTAAAGTGGACAAGTTACACTACAGTGAAGTGGACAAGTTACCCTACAGTGAAGTGGACACGTTACCCTACAGTGAAGTGGACAAGTTACCCTACAGTGAAGTGGAAAAGTTACACTACAGTGAAGTGTACAAGTTACCCTACAGTGAAGTGGACAAGTTACACTACAGTGAAGTGGAAAAGTTACACTACAGTGAAGTGTACAAGTTACCCTACAGTGAAGTGGACAAGTTTCACTACAGTGAAGTGGACAGTTATACTACAGTGAAGTGGACAAGTTATACTACAGTGAAGTGGACAAGTTACACTACAGTGAAGTGGACAAGTTCCCCTACAGTGAAGTGGACAAATTACCCTACAGAGAAGGGGACAAGTCACCCTACAGTGAAGTGAACAAGTTACACTACAGTGAAGTGGACATATTACCCTACAGTGAAGTGGACAAGGTACCCTACAGTAAAGTGGACAAGTCACCCCACAGTGAAGTGGACAAGTTACACTACATTGAAGTGTACAAGTTACCCTACAGTGAGGTGGACAGTTACCCAACAGTGAAGTGGACAAGTTACCCCACAGAGAAGTGGACAAGTTTCCCTACAGGGAAATGGACAAGTTACACTACAGTGAAATGGTCAAGTTACCCTACAGTGAAGTGGCCAAGTTACACTACCGTGAAGTGGACAAATTACCCTACAATGAAGTGGAAAAGTTACCCTACAGTGAAGTGTACAAGTTACACTACAGTGAAGTGAACAAGTTACACTACAGTGAAGTAGACAAGTTACCCTACAGTGAAGTGAGCAAGTTACCCTACAGTGAAGTGGCCAAATTACCCTCCAGTGAAGTGGACAAGTAACCCTACAGTAAAGTGGACAAGTCACCCCACAGTGAAGTGGACAAGTTACCCCACAGAGAAGTGGACAAGTTTCCCTACAGGGAAATGGACAAGTTACACTACAGTGAAATGGTCAAGTTACCCTACAGTGAAGTGGCCAAGTTACACTACCGTGAAGTGGACAAATTACCCTACACTGAAGTGGACAAGTTACCCTACAGGGAAGTGGAAAAGTTACACTACAGTGAAGTGTACAAGTTACCCTACAGTGAGGTGGACAAGTTACCCTACAGTGAGGTGGACAAGTTACCCTACAGTGATGTGGACAAGTTACACTACAGTGAAGAGGACAGGTTACACTACAGTGAAATGGACAAGTTTCCCTACAGTGAAGTGGACAAGTTTCCCTACAGTTAAGTGGACAAGTTACACTACAGTTAAGTGGACCGGTTACACTACAGTGAAATGGACAGTTACACTACCGTGAAGCGCACAAGTTACACTACAGTGAAGTGAACAAGTTACCCTACAGTGAAGTGGACAGTTATACTACAGTGAAGTTGACAAGTTACACTACAGTGAAGTCGACAAATTACCCTACAGTGAAGTAGACAAGTTACCCTACAGTGAAGTGAACAAGTCACCCTACAGTGAAGTGGACAAGTAACCCTACAGTAAAGTGGACAAGTCACCCTACAGTGAAGTGGACAGTTATACTACAGTGAAGTTGACAAGTTACACTACAGTGAAGTTGACAAATTACCCTACAGTTAAGTGGACAAGTTACACTACAGTAAAGTGGACAAATTACCCTACAGTTAATTTGACAAGTTACCCTACAGTGAAGTTGACAAATTACCCTACAGTTAAGTGGACAAATTACCATACAGTGAAGTGGACAAGTTACCTTACAGTGAAGTGGACAAATTACCCTACAATGAAGTGGAAAAGTTACCCTACAGTGAAGTGTACAAGTTACACTACAGTGAAGTGAACAAGTTACCCTACAGTGAAGTGGCCAAGTTACCCTACAGTGAAGTGGTCAAGTCCCCCTACAGTGAAGTGGACAAGTTCCCCTACAGTGAAGTGGACAAATTTCCCTACAGTGAAGTAGACAAGTCACCCTACAAAGAAGTGGACAAATTACCCTACAGAGAGGTGGACAAGTTACCCTACAGTGAAGTTGACAAATTACCCTACAGTTAAGTGGACAAATTACCATACAGTGAAGTGGACAAGTTACCTTACAGTGAAGTGGACAAATTACACTACAGTGAAGTGGACAAAGTACCCTACATTGAAGTTGACAAGTTACCCTACAGTGAAGTACAACAGTAACATTACAGTGAAGTGGACAAATTACACTACAGTGAAGTGGACAAGTTACTCTCCAGTGAAGTAGACAAGTCACCCTACAAAGAAGTGGACAAATTACCCTACAGTGAAGTGGAAAAGTTACACTACAGTGAAGTGGATAAGTTACCCTACAGTAAAGTGGACAGATTACCCTACAGTGAAGTGGACAGGTTACACTACAGTGAAGTGGACAAATGACCCTACAGTGAAGTGGACAAGTAACCCTACAGTGAAGTGGACAAGTCACCCTACAAAGAAGTGGACAAATTACCCTACAGAGAAGCGGACAAGTTACCCTACAGTGAAGTAGACAAGTTACCCTACAGTGAAGTACAACAGTAACATTACAGTGAAGTGGACAAATTACCCTACAGTGAGTTGGACAAGTTACCCTACAGTGAAATGGACAGTTATACTAGAGTGCACTGGACAAGTTACCCTACAGTGAAATGGACAGTTATACTACAGTGAAGTTGACAAGTTACACTACAGTGAAGTGCACAGTTATACTACAGTGAAGTGGCCAAGTTACCCTACAGTGAAGTGGACAAGTTACCCTACAGTAAAGTGGACAAGTCACCCTACAGTGAAGTGGACAAGTTACACTACAGTGAAGTGGACAAGTTACCCTACCTTGAAGTGAACAAATTGAAGCTGTTTACAGGACTGTAGACCATCCACTGCCACTAGGTTACAGTTTGTCATTGATAGGTACTTGAGGCCCCAGCACTGACCAAGAGTGGACACGTCACAGCCAGGCAAGTCCTGCAATTTGACTGTGGTCACCTATAACACAGAAAAATATCTGGTTGATATAAAAGTCAACTTTAAAAAACACCTGATACAGCCTCTATATATGTTTGACAAGATATGTTAGCTTTGGTATGGAATACACAAATTCATTGTTTCACAAACATTACTGTTATAAGACTCATCAAAATTTACCACTATAGAAACAGTTAATTCTTCCACAACAAGAAAGGTTAGATAACAAGGCAATTTATTTTTAGGACATTATGTTTGGGACAAAGTACCTGTCTGAGCGTGTCAACCTGAGCAGCTGAAGTGATGATGTACTTGTCGAGTGGTTCTAACTTCTTGGCAGAGGCTGGTCGTCTTGATGGCTTCTTAGTGGTGGCAGTCTTCAACTTCCACGGTTCATTGCTTACTTTACTGTCAGACATAATAACAGAATGATATTGCAACCAAACAAACACAGACAAAATACCATGGAAGGTCTATCTGTAACTTGAAATGACAAGAAAATTTGCACAATATTTCATATAATCTGGATCAAGTCCAATATATCTCCAAGAAAGAAAACAAAAAACAAGAGGCCTAGAGCGCATGTATCACTCACCTGGATCTTTATGCCCAGCAATGGTATAAATGGCTATGGGTTTGGGATCTCAACCATTTGAAAGTTATGACCCAATAATTAAGTGCCTAGGGGTGGTGCCAGACCCAAGGGTCAAATTTAATTTATCATGATTGTGTGGACTCTTAATGCCAAGCAATGGTATATATGGTTATGAGGTGGGGACCTCGATAATGTCAAAGTTATGGTTCAGGAATTAAGTCCCTAGGGGTGGGGCCAGACCCTAGGTTCAATTCTTATATTATGATCGTGTTTGCTTCTTGATGCTCAGGAATTATATAAACTGTTATAGAGTTGGGAACCTGATAATGTCAAAGTTAAAAATGCTTTTTGTCCCTACCCCTCAGATCTGGGGTCAGCCCTTAATTTGGTGTAATTTTAAATCCTTACCTCCTAAGAATGCTTCCTACCAACTATTGTTGAAAGCCATCACTTTATTCCAGAGAAGAAATCGCTTAAAGCAATATGGCCAAATATCCCCTTTTGGTCTTGCCCTTCCATTTCTACAATTTATTTTGAATCCCAACCACCTAAGGATGCAAGCAAATTTGGTTGATATCCTTTTCTCAGTTTCAGAGAAGTCGATTATATCAATATGGCTACATTACCCCTTTTTTGCCCAGCTTGCAGCCCCCAGTCGATCAGGCTCTACTTTTTTACAATTTTGAATCCCCACCACATAGAGATGCTTACATTCATTTTGTTTTTGAATTCCAAACAATGGTTCAGAAGGAGTTGTCTGAACAAAACTGTTTTCAGACGGCCGATCGACGCCACGGTATGGCATAGCTCACATTGGTCCTTTGAAACCATGGCAAATATACAATGTCAGAAATATCAGGCTTGATAATGTCATTTTACCTCCAAGGAATACAGGAGTTGATCCACTGCAGTCTCCGTACCTCAGCTCTGTCTGGCAGACCCAGCATCATGGCTCTCTGTTCACTTTTCCTGTGTAATATAAAACTGTATATATATACCATCATAATCTATCATCCGTGCAAGACCGTACTACCACCCGGGGAGGGACTTGAGTAAGCAGTATACCAGACAAGCTTGAACAAAAACTGATAATCATATGATAAAACATACACTTGACCAGACTGCAGCAGCCTCATCAAAATAAATATTAGGAATATGTCAAGCATCAAACTCCTTTTGAAAACTGGCAAAACTTTATCTTAAATATAAACTTTATCTTACAACAATTACGAAACAAGTTATTGCAACTTATATTAATCACTCTTGTTGGCCCGGATGTTAGCGCAGGGTTCTTAATTCAGCAATAAACTAGATTACATGGAGAGAACCACCGTGGTCGGGCAGGTGACCCCATACCTTTTCACATCCAATCGGGGAAATAAACCCTCACTGGCTGGTGAAAGGCAAGATATCATACAATAAGCAATTAGCAAATAAAAACACAGCAGCCTCATTAAATATACCCAGAATTTGCTAAGCATGGAATCTGAGTGAGAGAATTTAATAAATAGTACTCCAGCCAAGTTTGATCAAAATCCAATCATATCTTCATAAGATATATCGCAAAGCAATCAACCTATCAGAATCAATCAAATATCTTGAATTGAATTCAACTATCAGAATAACGATTTTCACAAAAAGGGGCATAACTCTACTGCTAATAGTGGTGACAGGTGAACAACTTCAGGTGGTAAACACTATATGTGGAAAGTTTCATTGGAATTGGACTTGAAATGTAAGAGAAGATCTTCATATAGGAGTTCACTAGTGGATGGACAGATGGAGAGACAGAGTAATCGATGCAGGGCCCTAATAATGTATGGACCATGTAATATAGAACCATTGGAGTTACCTTTTCTTCTCTTCCTGGTCTGTACCCTCGGTAAGTTGACTTATGTCACTGTGTTTACTTGATCGGCTACTTGTTCCTCCTTCCCGTCTACTACTTCGTGGAGTAGCTAGCTCAACACTCTGCTTTAAACTCACTTGTTTTTCTGTCTTTTCCTTTTCTATTATTTGTTGTTCCTCGTTCTGTTTTTGCTTTTCTGCCTCTTGCAGCTTTTTCTCTCTCTCCTCCTCCTGTTTGCTTACCTCTTGTAGCTTTCTCTCTTTCTCCTCTTTCTGTTTTCTCTCTATCTCAAGCTTTTCTGCTTCTTCCTTTTTCCTTTTTTCCTCTTTTTGCATTGCCTCTAGTAATTTTCTCTCTTTTTCTTTCTCCTCTTCAAGTTCTTTTTGTTCTTTCAATTTTCTGACTACCTCTTTCTTTCGTTCTTCTTCAGCTTCCAGGCGTTTTCTTTCTTCTTCCTTTTTCAGTTTTTCTTCTAGTTTTCTTTTTTCCTCTTCTTCCTTTTTCCTTCTTTTTTCTTCTAATTCTCTTTCTTTTTCTAACTTTTTCTGTTCCTCTTTTTTCCTCTTTTCTTCCTCTTTTTTTCGCCTCTTTTCCTCTTTCTCTCTTTCTTCCTCTTCCTTTTTTTGTTTCTTTTCTTCCTTTTCCCTTTCTTTTTCTTCCACTTTAAGCCTGAAATAGGTTAATATGTACAAATTCCAGATAAACAACCCAAAAAAAGAGTACCACAGGACGGAACAATATACACCTGTGTAATGCCAATCTGACATATTTAAATCCTTCTGATGCATTGTTGTTCGTAAATGAAGGTTAGAACTATTTCTAATAGTGTACTTGAGCAACTTTATCCTTTATGACCTATACAACTTTGATTTTCATAGGATTTGTCTCTTTTTGTATATATTTCAAACCATGAAAATAACATTGAAATTGCCCCTTTTTGTCAATAATCGATTCATCTTATTGCATGAAAACCAACAATATTCCAATTGTTTATTAATTACTGGCAGATTTTACATATTAGACAAAATATTAATATTGACCAAGTCTCATCAGAATACTGCCATATTTAAATAAGTTACTGAGTGGTAACTGTCGACCAATCAGATAGCAGCATGCTCATTAATTATGTGCATATTTTGCTCACCTTTAAGTCATTGTAATATCATAAATATTGACAAAGTTTCCTCAGAATCCTGTCACATTTGACAAAGTTATTGTGCAGAAACCGTCAACTAATCAGAGCATAGTGTTCTAATTAATTATGCACCGATTTTGCTCAACTTCGAACTATGCCTCAGTCTTTAGATAATGTACATGCAAGCGAAGTTTCATAAAATTTATTGATATCTAAGCAAGTTATCTTGTGGAGCCAATGTTTGAAAATTGACCAATCAGAGCACAGTACGCTAATTTATTCGGATTTTGCTCAAGTTTGAACTTAGCTTCAGTGTGGACAGATGGACAGACGCTCCCCATACCATAATATATTCATTACATAATGGATAGAATTACATTTAGCTTCATTAGTTTAATGATAAAGATAATATTTCAAATCTGATTTTTTTTATTGGACTGTTAGATATTTTTGTGTATTATTTGAGGGTGATACATTTCAAGTGATTGCTAACTTATGAAGTTTTACAGTGAAATACAATATTTTAAATATTGTTTAGAATCTCTAAGTGAAGAGTTTACCTTTTAATTTCTTCCTCTTCCTCCTTCACCTGCCTACGTTGTTGGATCATCTGTTCTGCCTCTTGTATTTTTCCCTCTTCCTGTTCCTTTTTCCTGACTTCAGCTTTCTCCTCTAGGATGTCTTTTATGGCTTTGTTTTCTTTCCTTACACTGAAATAAACAGTAATACAATACACACAATTGTATGTATAGAAGTTTCGCAACGAGTGATGGTTGATTATCAGGTTTGTCTAACTAGACTTAGTTAATCTGTATAAAGACACGAGGTTTACCGTGTGTCTTTTACGATTTGAAAATGAACTAACTCAAGTGAGATAAATGTGATAACTAATCATCACTTTCTCCAATAACATTCATATTTTATCTGAAGGAACATTTTTCCCATGGAAAATACATCATGTGTGTTTCTGATGCCACTAACCTGTAGCCCCTAAAGATACATTGTATTTTTGTGGCCTCCTGTTGCCCTATGTTATATGCCACTAACCTATAGCCCCTAAAGATACATTGTATTTCCGTGGCCTCCTGTTCCCCGATGTTATATGCCACTAACCTGTAGCCCCTAAAGATACATTGTATTTTTGTGGCCTCCTGTTCCCCTATGTTATATGCCATTAACCTGTAGCCCCTAAAGATACATTGTATTTCCTTGGCCTCCTGTTCCCCTATGTTATATGCCACTAACCTATAGCCCCTAAAGATACATTGTATTTTCGTGGCCTCCTGTTCCCCTATGTTATATGCCATTAACCTGTAGCCCCTAAAGATAAATTGTATTTCTGTGGCCTCCTGTTCCCCTATGTTATATGCCACTAACCTGTAGCCCCTAAAGATACATTGTATTTCCGTGGCCTCCTGTTCCCCTATGTTATATGCCACTAACCTGTAGCCCCTAAAGATACATTGTATTCATGTGGCCTCCTGTTCCCCTATGTTATATGCCTCTAACCTGTAACCCCTAAAGATACATTGTATTTCCGTGGCCTCCTGTTCCCCTATGTTATATGCCACTAACCTGTAGCCCCTAAAGATACATTGTATTTCCGTGGCCTCCTGTTCCCCTATGTTATATGCCACTAACCTGTAGCCCCTAAAGATACATTGTATTTCCGTGGCCTCCTGTTCCCCTATGTTATATGCCACTAACCTGTAGCCCCTAAAGATACATTGTATTTCCGTGGCCTCCTGTTCCCCTATGTTATATGCCACTAACCTGTAGCCCCTAAAGATACATTGTATTTCCGTGGCCTCCTGTTCCCCTATGTTATATGCCACTAACCTGTAGCCCCTAAAGATACATTGTATTTCCGTGGCCTCCTGTTCCCCTATGTTATATGCCACTAACCTGTAGCCCCTAAAGATACATTGTATTTCCGTGGCCTCCTGTTCCCCTATGTTATATGCCACTAACCTGTAGCCCCTAAAGATACATTGTATTTCCGTGGCCTCCTGTTCCCCTATGTTATATGCCACTAACCTGTAGCCCCTAAAGATACATTGTATTTTCATAGCCTCCTGTTCCCCTATGTTATATGCCACTAACCTGTAGCCCCTAAAGATACATTGTATTTCCTTGGCCTCCTGTTCCCCATGTTATATGCCACTAACCTGTAGCCCCTAAAGATACATTGTATTTTTGTGGCTGCCTGTTCCCTCCTCTGTTGCCTTTTTGTTTCCTCCTGTTTTCGTCCCTCCTCATAAGCTTTGTGTTCAGTCTCTATTTCTTCAGTTATCTTCTTCAGATTTTCCTTCAACCAACAGAAAAATTCACATGTAGATTATGAACAGAATGTTTTAAGTCTTTCAATAGTTATTGTACAAGTACTAAAACAGCAATTGTTTTCCACATGGAGATGATAATATTTGTGTTATATAAGTAAATGCCTTTTCAGTGTGTTCACAATCAGCATCATCTTGTTTTTTGGAGTTTGAATTTAGTTGTAGAGGAAATCTGAAGTGTGTTGTAGGGGAAGTCTGAAGTGTGTTGTAGGGGAAGTCTGAAGTGTGTTGTAGGGGAAGTCTGAAGTGTGTTGTAGGGGAAGTCTGAAGTGTGTTGTAGGGGAAGTCTGAAGTGTGTTGTAGGGGAAGTCTGAAGTGTGTTGTAGGGGAAGTCTGAAGTGTGTTGTAGGGGAAGTCTGAAGTGTGTTGTAGGGGAAGTCTGAAGTGTGTTGTAGGGGAAGTCTGAAGTGTGTTGTAGGGGAAGTCTGAAGTGTGTTGTAGGGGAAGTCTGAAGTGTGTTGTAGGGGAAGTCTGAAGTGTGTTGTAGGGGAAGTCTGAAGTGTGTTGTAGGGGAAGTCTGAAGTGTGTTGTAGGGGAAGTCTGAAGTGTGTTGTAGGGGAAGTCTGAAGTGTGTTGTAGGGGAAGTCTGAAGTGTGTTGTAGGGGAAGTCTGAAGTGTGTTGTAGGGGAAGTCTGAAGTGTGTTGTAGGGGAAGTCTGAAGTGTGTTGTAGGGGAAGTCTGAAGTGTGTTGTAGGGGAAGTCTGAAGTGTGTTGTAGGGGAAGTCTGAAGTGTGTTGTAGGGGAAGTCTGAAGTGTGTTGTAGGGGAAGTCTGAAGTGTGTTGTAGGGGAAGTCTGAAGTGTGTTGTAGGGGAAGTCTGAAGTGTGTTGTAGGGGAAGTCTGAAGTGTGTTGTAGGGGAAGTCTGAAGTGTGTTGTAGGGGAAGTCTGAAGTGTGTTGTAGGGGAAGTCTGAAGTGTGTTGTAGGGGAAGTCTGAAGTGTGTTGTAGGGGAAGTCTGAAGTGTGTTGTAGGGGAAGTCTGAAGTGTGTTGTAGGGGAAGTCTGAAGTGTGTTGTAGGGGAAGTCTGAAGTGTGTTGTAGGGGAAGTCTGAAGTGTGTTGTAGGGGAAGTCTGAAGTGTGTTGTAGGGGAAGTCTGAAGTGTGTTGTAGGGGAAGTCTGAAGTGTGTTGTAGGGGAGTTTGAATTTCCATTGCAATTACACAAACTTGAGCATTTCAATCATTGCTGAACTATTACTATTTTCCAAGATATTTTGGTTTCATCTTAAAGAACAGCTCCAAAGATGACATTTAAAAGTGTTATTTTTTCTCTAGGGTCTATATTCACACATTTTATTTATGCTTTTAATTCTGAGCATGTGTGATCTCCCCCATGAAAATTTCAAAAAGTTGTCAAGATTGTTACAGATAAATGAAGGATCAATAATGGTGAAACCTGCTTTGGGAAAAAACTTTTATTTCCAAGAAAAGTCTGGAGATAATTGATGGTTAGTGACACTATCTAGTACCTGGTGCTGTCGGTGTGCTGACTCTTGTAGTCCAAGACTTTCTCTCTCCTCTTTCTCCAGTATCTCCTGCTTCACCTACAACAGTGAGCACATATCTACAGGTAAGGTTCATTTTAGAAACATCACATTTTTGACTCAGTAGATTGTACTGTCCATCAATTAATTTTTCAGAATACGGTAGACTTCCCTTCTCATTTGTGGGATAAAACCATTATATGAACCTGTATAACATTTACAGAAAACACAAACAGGAATTGAAAACTTATTTTGCAAGCTTTCGCATATTCTGTTGTCAAGCAAAGAGTGTAAATGACCAGTGTTTCAACTCTTAACCGCTGGAGACAGCACACTAAGCCGTAGTGGGCCAAATCAGCAAAGTCATCTGTCAAAACTGACATTTGCAACTAAGGGGCGGAATGGGTAAACATGTCCCCCGTCCCCCTGCAGAATTAGAGTGACAGTGGCCTAAATAAAGGGATATTAAGTGAAATCCACATCAAAACAAGTGGCTATAACACAATAGAATTACATAGATTATATAGCAGGAAAATGGTGAATCAACATGATATTAACTGGAAATTGCCATTATACGACATGATGTTAAGTATTTTCTACAAAGGAAGCAAAGACACATATCCCTTATTATATCTATTTTGTGTTTGATTCTCTTGACAATTTATAATAACGAATTATTAAAAGATGACTTAACTACAGTTCCAGATCTGGTAGTGATCTTAGAGCTGGTAGTGCTGTGTACTTACCAGTCTTTCCTTCGCTAAAGTGGTGACCTCCCTCTCCAGTTGTTTACGTTTTTGTTGACGTTGTTCCTCCACTTCCCTATTTATTAAGTCCGCCTCTTTTCTCTCTCCTTCCAAAGCCTATAGCAATAACAAAAAGTCATTGAATGCCACATTTTAAAAGTGATGCTTGCTTATAAGGTAATGTCAATATTGATTATATAAAAGTGGAAAATAATATATGAAGCTGAGGCCCAAATAGGTTATGGTAAGGATTTATAAACCAATTCTTTGAAGGTAGAGCATACCATCTCATTAAAATAAGTTATTACCACTGTCATAATTATGAAATATGTGTTTATTTAAACAATGAATGTTTTAGCAAATGTTGTTATGGTCCTATAACACACATTGCTATTGATGACAAACTTAATAAAGCCTCGTGGTAGGGCTTTATTAAAGTTTGTCAGTAATAGAAACGTGTGTTATAGAACCATAACAATATTTGCTTAAACATTCATTAGTTATATTTACATTTTGATAGAGTAGTTATGATCTTATAACAGGTCTTTGAACAGCAGATTAAGTGTTGAAAACAATGAAATTGATGAAGTCACAAAAAAGACTGATTACATTACAATAGCAAATGTTATTATAGTCTCATAACAACATTTACTTTCTCAATGCATTGCAATGGAAGGATGCAAAGCAAAAGTTAATATATATTTTAACAAAAGTATTTCCTATAAATCACACCTTGCAATCCATCTTACAATTGTTTCAAAATTTGAGTATTAAAATCAAAACTTTATGAAAACAAACAAAATATACAGGGTTCAAAAGCAGTGCCAACAGTACACTTTACCTATGATGCTATCCAGGAGTTTTTAATACATAGCATCAAAATGAGGGATGATAACTATGAGAAGGGAAGTAACTCTAGGTCATAAAAACTTCTTTTTATAGCCTTATCACATATATAGAAGGAAAAACAAACCCTGTAGTGGAAGTGGACATCACGTTTAAAACAATGACAGCCTCTACCTTTATAACAATGACAGCCTCTACCTTTATAACAATGACAGCCTCTTCCTTAATTTTTGTAGAAATTTAACACCCAAACCTTTATCTGAAATTATTATGATAAAATAGGAGCTCATACAATTGGGTCAGATGTTAAATAACATCTTAAATGTAGCCTGTAAGACTCATTTTTATCACATAATGTACTGTGTTATCCAGTGAATATACTCATGTCATATTTGTTTGCGTATTAACCCATGTAATATGACCTATCAGTGATTGGTTGTAAGTTTCAATCGTTTCAATTGTGACGTCACGCCTAGGACAAGTACATGACGTCACAAGACTTACACACCGGAGTCAAAATGGCGGCTTTTTACATTTCAAGGTGGCATGAAAATTGTCGTTTTTACACGAATAAATGTCACAAATCTTGATTATGTGATAAAAAGGATCTTTCACTCGTTTTCATTTTATATGAAATACATGAGGTTCCATTTCATATGAGCCAGAGGCTCGCTTAATTGAAAATTGATAGACTCATTTCATAAATCTCATATGAAATGGAAACTGATGTAAGACCCTATATATATGAACGATTCACTGTATATAAGCTTCATTTACAGCTTTCAGCTTCTCCTCTCTGATCCTGTACTGTTTCTCCACATTATCTATCTGTTCCCTCATCTCTCGTTGAAAAGCCAGCTGTCTTTCATCAACGGGAACCAAAGCCAGTCCATCCCCACCACCTGAAGGAAATCAGCGTTACAGAGCCAGTCAGACATCAGTAGGTTCATACAAATGTAACATTCTAATACCAAATTAATATTCATTTGTGACACAAGAAATTCCAACTAATTCATTCTCTAGTGGTTGGCGGGGTGTGTCATTGTGCCAGCACACAGTCTTTGATAATATTAGTAAGTATAAACACCTTTCCTGAACATGATATTACCATTTCTAGTATTATCTTAATCCAATTTTTTTGTGTGCATTTTTTTCTGTCAAATAAAACTGTTCACTTTACTGAGTGTGGAATTATTAAGCTTTATATTAGGTTGTCCATCCGAAAGTAAGTATGAACCATCACTGACCTGGCCCCTGGTCCCCTGGATCCACACCTGCCAACACAATAGGCTCCAGATCAGCACCATCCTCATCCTCAGTGGCCTTTGATATCTCCTCCAAAATCTGATACATACCAAAACCATAACGTTACCAGTAGGTTCACATTCTCTGAACTTTATTACTAAAACGCTGGTGTACAGATTGATGTTTTATGCATTTAAAACCTTCTTTTAGTTTAAGATTGTCACTACTTCAAACTGCTGGATCCTATTAATACCGAAACAATACCTTTCTCCTAAGTTCCTCAGGGTCTTTGCCTTGTGCATTTGCTTCCTCCTTCAATAATTCCAAGTCTTCTACAGCTACAATGGACTTGGAGTCTAAACAATTAGAATGTTTCCACAATGTTTTGTTATCCGACTAAGATTTGATTGCAGTAGATATTGATTACTCTGACAACAAGCCATTGCTTTACAAGTATTCCAAATAACATGGTATCCGAATATCAATAACATGGTATCCCACTGTCAATAACATGGTATCCCACTATCAATAACATGGTATCCCACTATCAATGACATATTGTATTCCCCTTTCAATAACATGGTATCCCACCATCAATAACATGGTATCCGATTATAAATAACATATGGTATTCCACTATCAATAACATATGGCATTCCACTATCATTAACATGGTATCCAACTATCAATAACATGATATCCCACTAACAACAACATGATATCCCACTAACAACAACATGATATCCCATTAACAACAACATGATATCCCACTATCAATAACATATGGTATCCCACTATCAACAACATGATATCCCACTATCATTTACATATGGTATCCCAATATCATTAACATGGTTCATTAACATGGTATTCTACTTTCAATAACAAGGTATCCACTATCAATAGCATGGTATCCGATTATCAATAACATATATTATTCCACTATCAATAACATATTATTCCACTATCAATAACATGGTATTCCACTATCAATAACATGGTATTCCACTATCAATAACATGGTATTCCACTATCAATAACATGGTATTCCACTATCAATAACATGGTATCCCACTACATGGTATTCAACTATCAATAACATGGTATCCCACTATCAATAACATGGTTTCACACAAACAATAACACATGGTATCCCACTATCAATACCATGGTATCCCAATATCAATAACATGGTATCCCACTATCAATAACATGGTATCCCAGTATCAATACAAAACTGCCACACTCACCTGGTATTCATCTCACACTTGTTACCTTAAAAATGGACATTTTGTTGAACAAACTGTATAGCTCTTCATTCAAGAATGCAACTTGCTCAATAATTTGACCAGATGTGACCTTGAGAGTGTGTCAAGGTTAATCAAATGAACCAACTTGATAGATATTCATCTGAGCATACCATTTGTCAAATATCACCACCCTTTCCATTTTGGTTATTCAAAAAAGTTGTTTAAAGTTTTTAACATATTTGACCCCTGTGACCTTAAATATGATTCAATGGCATTCTTTTGAACTAACTTTACATACCTTTTATCCAGCATGCTACTGGCTAAATATCATCATCCTAGCCATATTTTTATTGAGGAGGAGTCGTTTCAGTTTTTGACATATTTAACCCCAGTGACATTGGATATGGGTGAAGGTCATTTATTTGAACAAACTTGGTAGCCTTTCATCCCAGTATGCTTCTGGATTAATAGCATCACCCTTGGCCTATTGGTTATTTAAAAGAAGTTGATGCTGGACAGATGGGCGACGGACAGATGACGGATGGACAGAGGATGTCGCACCATGACCATTTCGGGCCAGGTGAGCTAAAATGGTATCCCACTATCATAATCATGGTATCCCACTATTATAACCATGGTATCCCACTATAGTAACCATGGTATCCCTCTATCATAACCATGGTATCCCACTATCATAACCATGGTATCCCACTATCGCAACCATGGTATCCCACTATCATGACCATGGTATCCCACTATCATGACCATGATATCCCACTATCATAACCATGGTATCCCACTATCATAACCATGGTATCCCACTATCATGACCATGGTATCCCACTATCATAACCATGGGTTCCCACTATCATAACCATGGTATCCCACTATCATAACCATGGTATCCCACTATCATAACCATGGTATCCCACTATCATAACCATGGTATCCCACTATCATAACCATGGTATCCCACTATCATAACCATGGTATCCCACTATCATAACCATGGTATCCCTCTATGATAACCATGGTATCCCACTATCATAACCATGGTATCCCTCTATCATAACCATGGTATCCCTCTATCATAACCATGGTATCCCACTATCATAACCATGGTATCCCACTATCATTACCATGGTACCCCACTATCATAACCATGGTATCCCACTATCATAACCATAGTATCCCACTATCATAACCATGGTATCCCACTATCATAACCATAGTATCCCAATATCATAACCATAGTATCCCACTATCATAACCATGGTATCCCACTATCATAACCATAGTATCCCACTATCATAACCATGGTACCCCACTATCATAACCATAGTATCCCACTATCAAAACGTACAAATGTGTTCACAACACACTCCTTCCTATCTCCTAATAAATGTAGTTGGATTGGTTTACATAGCTGATAGACTGATGACCATGGCCCAGTGGTCAATGGTTTAAAATTAGTTGATAGACTGCTGACCATGGTCCAGTGGTCAATGGTTTAGTTGATAGACTGCTTACCATGGTCCAGTGGCCATTGAACCAATGTACTTACTCTGGCCATGTTGATAGTTGATGAGGTCATCGCACTCCTCTAGCTCCTCCTCGAACGCCTTTGTCTGTTTGTTCAGAAGTCTGAAGTAACTGTCCATTTCCAGTGGCACATCCTAGAAATATTTCCATGTCATCTGTTCTTAGGTCGAGTATAATGCTTGAATTCAAACGTCAAAAGACTTAGCATGCAGACGATAAAGGTCGTCAAAACATGTTCTCATTTTTAATACAAATCAATAAAAAAGCATGTTACAAACAGTATTAAATCATATACTTTCGATGAACACACATTTTATGCTACCCATAGGTGGGTAATCTGGATGTGATTTCACTGGCCACTCTTTTAATTGTGATATCACAGCAATTATTTCACAGATCAGAAACAGGAATTATGTATTTCCAGATGAAATATGTTTTTTTCAGATATAATATGAACATTATGGGATAAAAAGTTGTCTCACCCTGGGTAATTAGTTTGTAAAGTTCTAAAGTGGTAAAAATACATGCAAAGAACTTTAATTCTTTATTCAATATGAAAATTAACAAACTCAAGTTAAACATGATTACCAATTACACCTAATAAACTGATAAAGCTGACAAAAGCATATGAATAATATTTATCCTATTTTATTTGTATACTTATCCTTATTGGGGCAGTTCTTGGTTCAACCTGAAAGGCCATGTAAGGTAATGCCAAGACTCAGCCTCCATGTAATGCATATCATTTTTTTACCTTTGAAAGTCTACCACTCCTGAACATCTGATCAGATTTTAACCAAACTTAGTCAGAAATAATTTTTTACCAACACCAATGGGATTCAACATTAAATGAAGGATGTGGTGTTTCCTTTAGTATTGTAAAATGGAAATTTTGAAATCAAATTTGGTCTGAAGCATCGCTTGGTCAAGGCATTCAATTGTGTATTTATATACATGTACATGTAACCTCTCTTCCATTCTTGCTCAGAAAAAATACAATTGTCAAAAAGAGGTTCAATTCTACAAGATTAGTACTATGACCAACTCATAGAGTCTGACCAAATTACTAATCCTTGAGGTTTAGCTAAATTGAATTTGCTGAAGCTGTCACTTTGCAAACATATTTGCAAATGAAATCAGAAAATGTAAGAGCATTGTTGATAAGCCACATAATTATGTATTGAACATCAGAAGCAAGGACGGACAAGAACATGGTCACAGGTAGAAACTTTACTAATATTTTTCATTACAGAATTGTCAAATTTAGTGTTATGTGTTTGACAAGATTAAAGATTAAAAATGTTTATTTTGAACCATGGCAGTTTGAAACTAGGTAGACTGTTCAGAGTTCTAATGAGATGTATACCTCCAGGGGACTGACCACTTCATCATCATCATAATCCTCCTGCAGCCCGGGAAGCCCAGCATTGTCCCATTGACCGTCGTCATCATCATCTTCAATGTTGAGTTGCTGAAGCTGCTGCTGAATCTCCGCCTCTATAAGAGCTTCGTCATCCATCATACCCGTCCCACCTGACGGGGGCATACTACTGACCAGTGTCCAAGTGATCCCTTTTAAACACAAGTGAAGTAAGGTTTGATAACTAAATGTGTCAGATTATCTTTTGATCAATCCATTGCAGTACTGTTCTTAACCAGATAACAAAAAAACATCATCAGATACCTACGGCTGATATTTTACGATCGAGTTTGCCTACAGGTGATGAGTGAGTAGCGAAGCGAAATCAGCTGTGAATATCCAAGGATGACAAAAAAAGAGGCCCTGAGCATTGTTCTTCAATTCTATAAATATTCAACTGATTTTACATAACTCGTTTGAAACTGTGAGTCATTACAAACCTATAAATAGATGTACAAGTGCAGGTGATTTTAAAGTTCGGGGTTGTTCAGCTCCACCCACAGTATGTTACAGTTCACAGAAAACCTCACCTATACAATGCTTGATATTTACCATTGAAGGGCATTGCCACTATATAGCATAACCCTGTAAAATTCAGTTGGCATTCATATAGGCTATGAATACCATAGACCGATTCTTGACGCCATCACCATTATGACATCATAAATGTTACGTCAGATACTACTGACCCTCTATGGGCGATTGCTGTTTTATTCATTGAAAAAGTATACACGATACATACACTATTTGAACTAAGTGCTGAATAATGATATTATTGAATGTTCTATGAGATAAACAGATTCTAATTGAAGTGCCTTAGGCTTGTGGAGCACTCTTCATCTAAGCAGATCATGTTTAAATGGAGTTTTAGTAAATCACTGGAGAAATATTGGACAGACAACCATATCAGAAGGGAACAGTACTGAAAATACTTGAATATATTATATAAACACTCTTCCTCTTAGTATATCTCAAATAGATTTGTTTGTTAAAATGTTGTTTTGGACTTTCACTTGCAATGCTTTTTTTCTGGGGACTTTTTGGGGTTAATAATGGCACCATTCTCAATTGAAACTATTTCCTATTTATGCCTAATTTCCAAAATTCTGAAAATTTCCTTCACAGTTGGTATATGTTCTTCCCAAAATGAGACAAAACGTCCCCATCCCAAATTAACGAAAAAAACACCTGACTTGTCAGTTAATGGATTAAACTGCTAAGAAATTACATGTCAGTCTGACAACTCTGTCAGATATCTGGCATGCAAGCCCTCACACTTAGAAACATAAATGAAACTGACTCAAAATGCAGAATGTACCAGAGGATTGGAAAGCTTCAAAACATTATTTCCATCTTCAAGCAGGGAGACAAGTCCAAGGTAGCAAAGTACAGACCTGTGTCATTGATCTGCTCCCAGGTTATATAAACACATCTTAGTTATATACAAAAATACTGTAGCTGAACTGGACTAGGTTGATCATCGGCGACCAGATAGCTCAATTGGTAGAGCGTCCGTCTAGAGTTCAGAAGGTCCCAGGTTCAAACCCTGGTCTGGCATTTTTCTCTCCTGTTACAGTCGGGTGCCGTGAACAACCCTTGTTTCAAGCATTTGGTGCAGTCTTGGCAAGGGTATACCGAAACTGGGTTGTAAATAGTTGTTTTCGTGGGCGAAGACTTAGAAAAAGAAGGAAGGAATTTAGCAGAACTAGACTGGGTCGATTATTGGCGACCAGGTAGCTCAATTGGTAGAGCATACGTCTATGAGTTAGGCAGGTCCCTGGATCGAAACCCAGTCTGGCCGTGCATTTTCCTCTCCTGTTACAATACCATTATGCCATCTGTATAACCAACATGGATTCCACAGATGCTAATCATATAAACCACAACTGATTTACAAAGTACTCTTCAGGTACCAGCACAGTAATCTTAGTACGAAGTATGACGATAAGAGCCTAATTTGCAAGGTATTCCGATATATATGCCTGTTTTACAATTTTACTGTTTAAACTATTTAACATATTTCAGATCTGCCAGCTAGACTTCAAGATCAATATTTCAAAACACTTGCTAGATGCAGCTATCACATTCATAATGTCGATCTAATAGTAGCCTATTTGAACAAGTGAACAAAAATCAACCTCAATTAAGAATGTTCCCGTAATTGTTGTATCCCTCTGATAAAAGAATGCTTGGTATTAAGCTAACTCCATTATTTTCATAGAAACAATGTGCTTATTGACAAAAATGTCACTAGAATTCTTACCGGACGCATATATCAGGTCGCTTTCGAAAAATTGTTTACGTTCGCCATTGGCGTTGGTATGTTCTTGACTAATCTTGGTCATCCAGACGCTTGTCGGAGAGGAACTCGCTAAATGCCGGCCGGTGTAACGTTGAAAATTAACCCCCCTTGAAAATATAGCCGGGGTCAGTTTTCAACGTTGAAAATAAATGGAACAAGGAAGGCATGGGAAAAGGAACCTAACTCATATTTATTTTGAAAATGGACCCGGGGAAAAGTGAACCATACGAATATTTTATATAATTATTGATCTACAATATCCTCATACATTTTAAATCATAGAGCTCAGAGATTAACCCAGTATGGATGTTTAATTAGGTAACTGTAACCTAATTTTGGAAATTTGACATAAAATATTAAAACGTGTCATCATGTTCAGATATGAAAATCAAACTGATGTTTGACACAAATTGGGTCACTGTGACCTAGTTTTCAAGATTTGACATACAATCTCAAAAATGGTAGGAACGAGTAATTTAAAAAAAAACCATTTAACTGTTGTAAGACAAAATTAGACTTAATTTTCAAAATTTTACCTTCAGAAAAATCACTCTCCATCGGGTCAAAAAGTAACATTTAACAGTCGTTTGACAAAATTAGACCTACATTATCAACAAAATGTCATCTGGTCAAGAAATAAACATGTAACAGTTGTTTGACAAAATAAGGTCACTCTGACCTAGTATTCAATAGTTGACCTATATTATAACAAAAATATCAACGAGCTTTTGTTTTGCCAAATAAGGTCGTTGTGACCGGATTTTCAAATTTTGAACTTCATTTTCCAAAATGGTTATCAGAACAAGAGAGTGAACACAACTGTTGTTTGACAAATTAAATCACTGTGATCTATTTTTTTTTAATTTGAGCAACATTAACAAAACAATATTCTCACGGGGTTCATAAAATTTACATATAGAGCTCTACTTTGTTCAGGCCAGGTACTTTTCAAACTTTAAACTACATATATATACATTATTAGAATAGTCAACGGGGTAAAAACAAATTAAACATGCAACTGTTTTGACAATTTTCTAAATTCAATGTGTTGATATGGCCCTGGGTCCATAACGATCGCCATTTTTGGTAAAGATATTTCGAGAGTATTTACTTTTGGTTTATCTATACTTTGTCATTCAGGCCTCCTGGAGGTTCAAATTGTAGGATGTCGACGTCGTGGTGAACGTTATGCCAATAACTGCATGGTGGAGCGCGACAGGTTCGGTGGTGGCAGCGTTATGGTGTGGGGTGGGATCGGTAGTGGCCGAAAAAAACCTTAGTCGTGATTGAAGGCAATTTGACAGCTCAACGGTACATTTCCGTTATTCTACAACCTGTCGTCGTGTCGTTTGTCCGCCAGCATAACGTAATCTTTCAACAAGACAATGCTCGGTGCCATGTGGCGAGATGAATTATCTTCGCCAAAACAATGTCGACACGTTACCTTGGAAAACTAAGAAGAATCTAAGCATTCTTTACACAAGGCATTTAAAAAAAAGCTTAAACGAACAAATACAAACATTTATACGTAAAGAGATAATAAACGACGGTCTCTTATATTACTGCATATGTGTGAACAAACCATCACATATCTATTAACAAAACTAACACTATAGGTAAAACAAGACTTTTGTTTTGATTGTATGATACTGTATATCGTACTACTAGTACCAATACAGGCATTCCACGTATTATAAATGTTACAAAATTTAAACGATGTATGTAAAATCCAATAAGAACTCTGGAGCCAAAAATCTGCGTACGAAAAAAAAAGGTTCACATGTACTGTAAAAGTGGAAATTTCCGCGCGTAGAAATGTTGGCGTATTAACTCAACAATCTTTTCAATATTTATTCGCGTGTGGATAATTTTGCGCAAATTCACTCAATAGAAAAACACGGACATTTTCATACTGATACATTTCCCACTTTCACCGTACATTAATCGCAATATCGCTTTTAGCTAACCAGACCCGAAGGGCAAGGCGAACTTATGTCGAACAATATTGAAGTTTCAATTCGCTTAAAAAATATCATGCGGGGAGGGCGTACGGCGGCTACGCTCCCTCAAAACCCACGCCTGATGGTTTCTCGGACAGGTTTTCACAATATTTGCTATTATGATTACTCATCCAGAACAAGTCATTCATACATGTAGACTGCTGAGCGCACGTACAGTGTACGAGGTGGACTGGTTTGTACCTACATAACACAATAGAGTTACCGTGTAAAGGTGTATATAGTTCGTTACCGGTGTGCCTGTGAAGTGATCGAGGAATTGAAATGAAATAATATTTATTTAAATATACGGGTAGGTGGTTGACACATGTTAGATGCTTTGATCTGATATCATGTTTATGTTATAATGTTTCTAAGACTGGTGTGCACCGGAGTTAACACCGTAGTCCACTAGAGATAACACTGGTGTGCACCGGAGTTAACACTGAAGTCCACTAGAGATAACACTGGTGTGCACCGGAGTTAACATCGTAGCCCACTAGAGATAACACTGGTGTGCACCGGAGTTAACATTGTAGTCCACTAGAGATAACACTGGTGTGCACCGTAGTTAACACCGTAGTCCACTAGAGATAACACGGGGGTGCACCGGAGTTAACACCGTAGTCCACTAGAGATAACACTGAGTTCGATGATGGATGTGATCCGTGCGAATTTACACACAATTAATGAGGTTACAATTGACTACATCTAATACATATACGGATTTGCTTGTTATGATACATGTAATATCGTATATAAACTCTTTTGTTTTTTGACATTTAAGTAGTTCTGTTGACCGGATCGCTCTGTCGGTTAGAACAATGGTATTACAACTTGAAGTTTAGGATTCGAACCCCGGTCTATTCCCGGTGAATGTTTACACGCAGAACACTGTTGTTGATTATATTTTGTTTATTTAATCTTAAATTATTTCTCATAAAAGTATCGCAAGGTATGGATTTCATTTCAGAAATGATTTATCAAAGCTACAGTTATACCGGATGAAGCAGTTTCCAATACAAGCTAGCAATGATACGGGGATCCTTACATCAAACTAAGAATCGAGTGACAAATATCCTGTATATTAGCGTACTAGTGTCAAAATTACTATTCCAGCTTAACAACGATATACACAATATAGTGATATGGTGTTGTGTTCTTTACAACCTTTTTATTTCAAGTTTTGGAAAGCAACCCAAGTTCACATTCATTTATGACAGATGGTATACTAGTATTATAATCCTGTTCAGCGCCACACTTAACAACCATACTTAAACATACAGTGTACTGTAGTATCAATTTCAACTTTTTACAAACTCTGCATTTCCTTTAACTATTGAATATCTTATGTTAAATAGCAACAATGCCACGTGTATAGTGTGGTAGTATAGTAATTATTATGTAAAGTGCATTTGCCTGCAATATACGACTTATTTTGTTCTTTTGCCAGATGACAAAATGAATATTAATTTCTATTGTAGTTGTTCGCATTTGATTAATATTATACTGTTAAATCAATAAGCACTAATCCCGTTCCACGCATAGCAGTCTAATTTAAGGATCCCTGGCCCACTGCACTGCACTTTCCTTATCTACAGTAAAATTCCTTTTACTTTTTCGTTTTGGAGATAACTATAGAACAGTTTGACCACGACACTCCCGTTGACTAGTTAACTCAGACGGTTGGAGCGATTGTTAAAAGGGACCAGGGTTCGAATCCCGGTCTAGTCAGGCTTAATTTGTACACTGTTATTGGTCCCCTACCGCTGAAACCGGGAGGACTGGGTTTGTCTGCGTCCGTCCGTCCGTCCGTCAGTTGTCCGTCCATTACCTTTGGTTAAGGTTTTGGTTTAAGTTTTGGTAGGGGACATGCATCGATTCATCAATAGCCACAGAATGCTTGTTGATTATGTTTTGCTGATTTCATCTTCAATATTTTTTCATAAAAAGGAATGGTATTTTCGTTTCAGAAATGTTTTATCAAAGCCAAAGTCATGCGCGAAAATACATCAGTTTCCAATGTGTAGTTACTGTACAGGATTTAGCTGTGGTACGTACGGGCATCCGTTAATGGTTACACTGTTGCTGACACAGATTCCCTCTGTACCATAATTCCTTTCTCCATCTTCTCAGTTTGCGATATAAAGCCGTTGGATACAACATCTGTATACATTTCTTTAAGCTCAGTCATATTGTACACTGAATCTTACCTTTTAAAGATTTCCATGTATTCTTTGAAATAATTCGTAGTATAGCAAATCTTTCAAACTGATAGAACTCCTTAGAATAATGCATTGCAGATACAAAGAATACAATACCTTGATGGCAGTACTGGAGATGTTGATAGCAGATTCCTTGTAGGCTGAACCAGAGCAGGGATGGAGCAGAGCTACAGCAATAGGCTGTACCGGATGCAGGTAGTTGCTGCCGACATACCTCAATGGCTGTACTGGATACGGAGCACTTGACCGGGCATCGGTCAGGTACTTTCTTGGGTACGCGGCCTGAGGACGAAAGTCTGAAGGTATCGCTTTTATATGACGCGACGGTACAGTATCGCCGATTTTACCACAAATTGGTTTGGTAAAACGATATTATATCAAATCTTTCAAAATCATTACACTCTGTCAGAATAATGTATTGTAGATACCGCGAGTAGCAGTCCTGGAGCTGGAGCAGAGATACCTCGATAGGCTGTACTGGATCCAGAAGAGTTGCTACCGACATACCTCAATGGCTGTACTGGATGCGGAGCACTTGACCTGGCATCGGTCAGGTATTTTCTTGGGGACTACGGTAATATTCTTTCTTTTTCTCCTTCTGTTGTAAGAATGAAGGAAAGATAATGCGTTAGATCTAAATTCTTGCAAGGCTAATTTCAAACTGACTGTGCACTCTTGTAATCGAGCTAATGGCCAATGTTGATCTTTTGATAGGGTCTTTCAAACTGTGTTCTTCTCTGACTTTGCATAGGTAGGACTAAGGTAATATTCTTTCTTTTTCTCATTCTGTTGTAGGAATGAAGGAAAAATAATGCGTTAGA